AATAAAGGTACGAGAGTCTAAACTTAGAAATAGAGAATTAAGAGTTTGAACCAAGAATTTATATTCTTTTAAAAAAAAGTAATAAATTTTCTGCACTCTAATACCCTTTTAATAAAATTTAAATCGATATAAGTATTAATTTAAAACTTTACTTTTTTTTATTTTAAAAAAATTAAACAATAATTTGAAATACCCCACAAAAGAGATTTGGATGTGATGGATCCTCCCTATCCTCATTTCCATTTTCATCAAAACTATTCAATCATTCACCATCACAAACTTTTCTCTCTCTTCCTCTATACATACATATTTACATACATTTATACATGCATACATACACACACACACACACATATATATATATATATATATATATATATATAATTATTACTAAAATATTATAAATAAATAAATGAATAGTATTCACCATGAACCAATAAATTTAAAAGGATAAAAAAAAAAAAAGGAAAAAGGAAAAAGGTAGTAATTTTTGGTGAGATCAAAGGAAGGAAAGGTTAAAAAATAGGTGGTTGGGGTTTAATTTATGGAGGGGCCAGGGAGGCAGGAAAAGAGAGTGAGGTAGTTGTTGTCTCATCAATTTTCTCTCTTTTCAAATCCCAACCAAACCATTTATTTCATAATTTTTTTATATTTGCTTCATTCATCAACTTTTTTAATATTAGATTAATTTGAATCAATTAATCTAAATTTGTTATTAATTTTAAAATAGATAATTCAATAAATTTTAGAAATAACATATTATATTCCAAACAAAGTTTTTATTAAATTATTAAATTGAATTTATTATTTAATGAAAATAGTTTGGATTAATTTTTTTTATAAACTCAACAAATTAATTTTAATAGTTAAATTGAAACACATGAGGAATTTAAGAGTAGGTTTGATTAGAATCAAAACAAAATTCAGGTGCAACGCGGCGTGATGAGTTATGATAAGACTGCGGCATACACATCGTATCGAGTACGTCCACGTGGAACATTACCGCGCGTCAAATCTCCCATGCAGAAAGAAATTGCACCGATCTTGAGATAATTCTCCAATCAACGGCCACGATCTGATGCGGTCTGCCAGATGACAAAAAAAGCCCGTGGATTAATTGTGGCTCAGTGGGGTTTCTGTTTTAAACCGTTCACTATAAATAATAACTTTCATTAATATATAAATAGTAATCGCTATGTTTCAGAAATTTATTATTTTTCTTCTCACAAATTTTCTTTTTTTTCCTAATAAATCCTTTCAAATTTTTATTCAAACAATTAAAAAAATGTTACTAATTTTCTTGGATAATTATTTGATTGGGATTTGGTAACTAAACACATGAAAATCCATCATTATTATTATATTTCTCAATGAAATCCTGACGCCACTAAAAGACAAAAATACTAATCAATTGATTACTTCCCTCATTTTTTAAATACAAATACTAATCTTTTTAAAAATAATCATCATCATTTATTTAACCATAATTTTAATGATTGAGAAGAGATTGCCATTTGATAATTGATTCGATAAAATTATATAAATGAAAAGAAATTACTATAAATATAGTATAGCATATTTATTATTATTTTGGGGGGTAAATTCTGTTACAGGGTTCTTGCAGTGGTTAGGAAGAGAATGAAGAAGAAAAAGAATTAATACAGAGAAAATTAAATTGAAACGCAATTAGTTTTTGTTACAGAACGTACAGAGAAAAAGAAAAAAAGTAGAGTAATGGTAGATAGAAAGAAAGGAAGAAGAGCATCAAACAATTAGCTTTCGAAATTAATTTCTCTCAGAAAACTAATTTTTTATGCTCTAATTCTTTTCCACAACCAAAAAAAAGTTGTTCAACGCCAAGATCTTAATCTACCCATCTTCTAAAATATTCAGAAAATTTAAAATTAAAAAAAAAAATGGATGAACTTAGTTGTGAAGAGGATTCGGACCCGTGTGGATTAACCGCTTGTCGTCGGTGTAAACGGCGGCGGCAGCAGCGGCTGAGGTAGGACGGTGGTGGAGGAGCTCAGGTGGGGAAGTTGCATGTGATAAGGACGCCGTGGAGAAGTGGACTAGTTTCCTTGACGTCGGGGGCGGTGGTGGTAGATGAAGACAGAGAGTAGGCGGAGGAAAAATGAGGAGGACCCAGAAGAAGAGGAGAAACGCGTATGCGGTGGTGGCTGCTGAGGCGTGGGTTGTGAGTGTCATTCCGCCGGCGTGTAGCGGAGGTGGCGGTGGCGGTGTTCGTTTGCCGAGAAAAAAGAAGAAAGTGGAGAGAAAAACATAGAGAAGAAATTGGTGCGTGTGTTATGGGTTTAGCCACATGATGTTAAGGCTAATGTTCGAAAATCTTTGCAAAAATATTGAAATTTGTTTTGGACATTCTTGGTCTGTGTTTTTTTTTTTATTATTATTATTAAAAAAGTAATTTAATTAAATGTGGGACTGTCAAGTATTAATAGCCGATGTCTCCGGGAAAAAAAAGAATTAATAAAAAGTAGAAGTACCAAAATACAATATAGAAATAAGAGAGAGGGATGCGTTGGGAAGCGAAAAGAAGGCCGTCCGTACGGATTTCATGGAAAAAGAAATAAAAGAAAATTCAGAACAACAACAACCCTTTTTCTCTAAGATTTGGTTCTGTGTTGGGTTTTCCCTTTTCCATGTTTTTTTTGTTTTTTTTTTTTTCTTCTTCTAAATATTTTATGTTCTAATGTCAGAAATTGAGTACGCATTGGTTGACTTTGGAACCAACATTTAAACAAATCTACCTATCCTACTTTAACCAAGTCATTAGTTATGTTTTTTTTTTCTTGGGTTGATCGAGATTAATATCACCCTCTATGTCTAAGGCTCGAATTAAAATTTTAAATTCAGATTTGACCACTAATGACTTCATCGTTTTCGATCATGTTACTAATTATTTGATTTTAAGAGTGGAAACTATCTCCATAAATTAACACAAGTTCTTCTATTATGTTTTTGTCTTTACTCACATATATTATAGAAAAATTTTGAGGTCGTCTACTCCAAATAAAATACGTTTTACCATAATTGAGCTATCAAAAAGAAATGTGTAACTTATTAGCATAAGTAACGACATTCAATTTTTTAAAGTCTTTTTTAATTATACTTTTGATTTATTCTAATGACACATTTAAACTGAAAAATAATTCAACTTTCAAGTATTAGCAAAGTGAATAACAAACCATTTATTACGGAATTAACTCCACTGTGGTAGTAGAATGATGGGGAATAATTTAGTTTAGGTATAGGGGACTTTTTTGTAATTTACTTATTAATATATATTGGTAGTATAGTAATTTATATATTGTTTTTTTTTTTTTTTTTTTTTTAA